GGGAGGGAGTACGAATACCAGCACGAAGCAAACATTCATTATACAAGAAACATTGAACCCCTCCAGGGCAGGCGAGACAAGGCGTCTGGTCTGGGTCGCCGCACCTGTTGCCTGTGTACGCTACCTTAGACTTGTACCGCGCGTTCTCCCAAACCAGAGTCAGTGAGGCTCGCCGTGATGAATCAGACGTTTCTGAATATCTGCTATTCGTACTTCGTTCTGAAGGTGAAAATGAAGTAGATGAGCAGAGAAGCAGAAGAGAGGGCAGGGCATTTACTCCTGGGTACTTGAGTGACAGGTAGGAAAGGTAATCTGACTGACAGCGCAGGAATTCTGTTTTACTGGACAGGAAATGCGCACAAGGAAAAGAACTCAACGTCTCACAAGCATGGCTCTTCTTGCCTGTCGTACTCCGTACACGGTATGAAATTAGGAATACCTACGTTCTCGGTGCAACACGAGAGACCTTGCCTTCCTCTGTCCGCCCTTTTGGCCCGTTGTGCCATCTCCTTCGCTCTCCTTCAGATCAAAGAGATGGGAAGAAAAAGAACAACTTTTGTGTATCCGAGTACGTACCGCGGTACCTGTTGGCGTCGGCGAAGTACATGCGAGACAGGGGTCGAGTACCTGGCCCGTCCATGTTAGTCCCCGGCTCGTCGAGGAACTTGCCCCAATTGGTAATTGGGTCTTTCCGCTCTCGTCCTTGTACCCTGCCCTTGTGTGCGATGGTCTGAAGAAACGTTCGAGGTACCCTGCAATAAGCGCAAGAGTCTCGATTTGAGCCCTTTCAACGAAGCGAAACGAAAAGTGGGAGCGGAGATGGATAAGCAACGACGGTTATCTGATAAATGGATAGAAATGGGTGAGTAGTCGGCAGATATTCACGAGAGATACTCGCTCATAGAGCATGGAGAAGCGAGGAAATAGTCAAAGTGAACAATGTTGGTTGTATCCTCAATATGCTTGGGTACGGATACACCTGTCGACGTCTGTTCATCGCACAAGAGCAAGTAACAGTAGGTACGCAGTAACCTCCTTCTCTCCAGATCTCCATCTTCTCATCCCCACTCCTTCCCTCTTCCGACCTCTCTCGGATGTTGGACGTACCCTCCACGTCCTTCATTTCGTTCCTTATTCCCATGTTGCCATCTCATCCCAACCTCTCACCCTCTCCAAACACCGACGGGATTTATCATCACTACCCTATTCCTCCCCCGCAGCTTTAGTCTCGGCGAAGCCTTCCACCATGCTTCCATACCCCTTGGATGATGACACCAACGACTTGTTAGTTCACCTGCATTACGGATACAAAGTTGTCGTTTCTTTGTGGCTGTGCTGTTTGTTTCGGTTCTGTTGGCCCCCCTGGTGGTGGGCGGCTAAGCCCTGCAGGCGAACAGGCAGCTCATCATCGCCAATTCGCAGATATGCTCCCACCTACTGGGCCAGTCACCCTCCAGAACCCATAAACACAAGATTGAAAAGAGAGAACAGCAAGTGGAGCAGGGAGAGGACATGGATGACAGTGGGTTCCCCGCGACAACACGTGCTCACCTGTGGATTTGTTGGACAAGGCACCCCTTTCTCCCTAGACCATTACGGCTACCTTACCTTGGTGTAGCTCGAAAGACCGCAGTTCTCGTTCCATTGCTCTACAGACTACGGAGTACTACAGTCTAGAGACTACACTAGCCGGCCCGCCCACGTCTCGATGCAGTCACCATGCTGTTCCCCTTCCCAGGCCCAGCATCGAAAGCGGTTGGTGTGTTGTCGGCGCCCGCCGCTGCCAATAGAAACGGCGGCTCCGCTAGGCAAAGGGTTACTGGGCCCTGAGGGTTGCCGTTTCGGCATCTGCGACTACACCGACGCCGGACCGGCGAGCTTACCAAGCGGGCTCTTAAAATACCCTGTATTATGGAAGCAATCTACTGGCTGAGGAGTGTATCCGGACAGAGTGGTACCAATGACATTGCGTCTCAACCAGGCCCAGGCATCCAGAGCCACTGGATAGATATGCCAAAGACTTTCTACAAAGTGCTCGAAGATTGAGGGAGTACGAACCCCCCATGTACCGCCAATTCGAGCAAACAAATACAAGTTCCAAGTTGAGAATTGCTCCGAAACAGACGCAAGACCGGGGGACCAGACTATGAGAGCCAAGCGACACAGTCTCAGAGACTCTTCACCCAGGGTGGATGATTGCTGCTGCTTCCATGTATCTCACATGTAAGTAATGCATGTGTCTGTATCAGGTCCGGCGACCCAACATTGGCAAAATACCTCCACGCCTGCGCCTCTTTCCTCTTTGGCCCTGCGAGTCAACAACACGCACTTACACGCCCCGGACCCTTAGGAGGAAACAGCACCGTTGAAAGCAAGCAAATTGGCAGTACCCTGAGGATCCCGAACCACACCTTCGACAGAAAGCTCCCTCACCCTCGCAAACACCTCATCCGGGGTAGACAAATCCTCCTCTTTGCCCCTCAGGTACGCAATCAGACCCGTTACGTGCGGGACAGCCTGCGAGGTACCCGAGTACACCGTCGTGCCGTTGTCGAGTCCGAGCGAGCGCACCTCAACGCCCGGCGCAAACACCTCGACCAGGCTGCCAAAGTTGGAAAAGGACGCCCGGGTCCGGTTCCAGTCCGCGGCCGCCACCGTGAAGGCGCGCGCCGCCCGCGCGGGCGAGCGCCGGCTGGCGTCCTGGTTCAGGTTTCCGGCCGACACGACGGTCGGGACACCCAGGTCGTAGGCTGCGTTGACCGCCTCGTCGAGGGCGGAGGCTGTTGTGCTTACTGGGAACCCTGCAGCAGGAAACCGAGGGAAGGTTGCGTGTTAGTCGAAACTTCAAGGGGGGGGGGGGTACCCATCTATGGCCGGCGGGCGCAATATTGGCTTGCGGTTGAATTTCGGGGGTTCTTACCGAGACTCATGCTGATGACGGACTTGGCGAGGCGACCGGGGGTGTCTGTGATGTTGTTGACGGCCCAGTTGTAGCCATCGAGGACCGTTGCGACGCTGCCGGTGCCCTGTCCCCGAAAGTTAGACTCGTTAGACTTGACAGGTAGATTTGACCACCAGTCACACTGTAAGGGCGACATCCTCCGTGGTAGCAACCGGAGAAAGAGACAGAGGCGACTTACAAAACCAGCAAGGACTTTAACATCCACAACCGTGGCCTTCTTCGCGACCCCGTACGTCTGGGACCCAACCGTCCCAGCAACGTGCGTGCCGTGCCCGCCAAAGTCATCAAAATCTTCGTCAGGCTGCGAACTGTATCCCTTCACGGCGTGGCCCGCGAAGTCAGGGTGGTACACCTGCACGCCCGTGTCGACGATATACGCAAACGAGCCCTCGCCCGCAGAGTCATCGTAGGTATAAGGTTGACCGTCAGACGAGCTCGACAGTTGATTCAGTGACGATAAACTCGCCAAACCCCACGGCGCGGCATCCTGCGTGACGAGGGCGTCAATCTCCACGAGGCGATTCGGCTCGACAGAAGCCACGGCGCCCTCGACGTCGCCGCTAAGGATCTCGGCGAGCGTGGCCTCGTCAAAGGAGCCCGCGTAGGCGTTGAAGGCCCCGATGGAAAAGGTCTTGCTGATGCCGCCTGTGGGAGTGGTGTCGCGCCGGCGGCGGGTGTGCACGGAGGCGGCGCGGGAGAGGTGGGACTCGATTTGGGAACGGGCGAGGCCCGGTTTCAGGGAGATAATGTACTCGCCCGGGATAGTGCCGTCCGCGGCGACGAAGGCCGGGGCGGGAACCGGTGCGGGAACCGGTGCGGGAGCGGCTAGGGCCCAGAGGCCTAGAGTTAGGAGGACGGCGGTTGCGCTGATGACGGGCATTGTTCACTGTCGAGCGATACTGGCAATTACATCGATATCTGCATGTTCTTCAATATTTCATCTACTACTTATACTTCAAAGTGAATGTAATCATGGCATTGATTCTACAGATTCCATCATCGTATACGCAGAAGAGCCAAGACGAGCGCCTGTGGGGTTATCTGACTTTGAGCTTCTCAAAACTGAAGGTCAAGACGGCGATGCAACATCGCCAGTACCTCGTAGATGCGCGAGCAAGGCATGAGCAGGGCATATGAGGCGGGCATTTATCCCAATGAGGTATGTTGTAGCTGGGCTCGCCATGACCCGATGCAATTGCGATGCCCGGGTGAACGTTTTCGCTCTTCTCGTGGAGGATCTGGAAGCATGGGCATCGCCGACGGTCCAGCACTCTGGAGGTGAGGTTCTACAAGTTTATCGCATCTGTAACACCCCGGATTGATACGGACCGGAATAGAAATCGCTTCTACCTGCTTTTCCCCGGAGGTGAACTCCGAGGATGAGAGAGAGAGAGAGAGAGAGAGAGAGAGAGAGAGAGAGAGAGAGAGAGAGAGACAAGACAATCACGGGAGCAGGAGGTAGTCTCTCTTGGCATGCAAGAGCGCGCTGCAGCTGCATGGTTCTGTCACCGTTCCTCGTATCGCCAACGGGCAGCAGCACCAGTCGAGCAGGAGCAGAAGCAGTAGCCCGAGCATTTGTCAGTTCAAGTTGCAGGAAACAAGACCGGAGAAGCATGAGACGGCATGATGACCAGACGCACGCGGCCCGTCTCGACGGCGTTGTGTCACTGCCAGGCGAGCATGGCAGGAGCAGAGGGTCTTGTCTCGCGGGAAGGGCTGTAGCCTGTAAGGTAGGCAAGCATGTAAGCCACTGCCCTTTGGTCACTGGTGATCTGTAATTTGTGGTGTCTGTACTTCAATACCTCGAGTGAGGTACATACAGGAGTACCCATGGTTGTACCTCAGCACTGACCAGATGTTCAGACCAAGGTATCGAAACGTTTTGTTGCCTTTCCCGGCGCTGTTCCCACGGATGGAAACACACACAATTCCACTAGAAACCTGACAACTTCCCCCACCTCACACTTTGCCCAATCCATTCATTTCTCGCCGAGATTCTGGACAGACACGGCTTGCATCTTGTCTGGCAAACAAAAGCCTATGTCTCGGCTTGATTCACCGCTTCGGCCATGTCAGCTGCGCCACATGCAATGTCCATCCTACCGGCCCGCTTCCGCTGTCTGAGGGGCTTGGATGCATTCGTCTACAGGTCGTTCGTTGTCAGCAGCAGAGGAGGGGGGGAAACAAGGGACCACGGGGACCATGGGGACCATCCCATTTCTAAAGGCGAGACAAACTCTCACCCACTCCTTGACCCTCCATCTCAGCCCTATGCGCCATAGACCTCGAAGCATGGCCCTGGGTGACCAGGAAAGCCTCCACTGGCCTTCCCTGGACTTACTGGCCCAAGGGCTTGATCAGGGCGGCCTCCTCTCGAGCCAGGAGCCCCCATGTATCCCACTGCATCTTGAGAATCTGCCTCAAGACTGCCTACATATCGCCTGCCTTAGCGCCGCTGCTCAGCCATCGTCCTTCAAAAAGCCACCCTCTGCTTCTTGAGAGACTGCAGAAGGAAGCCACACCGACCCACGATTGACGGCACCAATGTCTTCCCACAATGACGTTCGCTGCATCTACGCACCTTCTCTGCGTCTTCTTCAGCCCTACCAACCATGATCGCTTACCGTGTAAATGCGATCACGGGCTGACTAGAAGCCGTGGCCTACTCCACGCCCGTTCCTAGGTTCTCGCTTCTGCAGGGTAGTCACCGACTTCGACGAACATCAGCCACTCAACACATTCAGGCGTCTAGAGTCTGAGACGTGAGGGTCCGTCTGATCATCTCTCTTCCCCCTGGAGGAACAACCGATTGGTGTTCCGGCTTCCTCGTCGCCTGGCGGCGCCTCTCCGGAAGATTTCGCCCTTTGCTGTGGCATGGGGCGGGATGCCGATGTGTCAACTGCGACCACGGACCCGAATCCCACGGACTAGCAACCGGTTCCGGAGATATGGTTCGACCCAAAGCCCTCGACATTGGGAACTGAGACCTCTGCGAACCGGTGGTGTTCGGGAGTGAGACTCTCCCATGGCTGCGAAGGGCAGCCAGCCAGCGGGCCTCGGTAGTGATTTGGATGTCTTTGTGTTATTTCAAATCGACTACGAATGAAAGGCGTCGTATGCCAAGGACCCAAGAGAGCGGCTGATATGACGGCACTTTGCAAGTGGAATTTACGATAGCCAGCTCGACGCAGGAACATTGCAGAATCTCCCTATGATGATTTCAGCCAGATCGATTGGGAAGCGTTTTCCGCGGCAGCCTTTGGGGGCACCATTTCTGCCCGTCACCAAGCATCAATGTCTCTCGGACATGTCCGCTGGCGATTCCCATGACCGCGGGGTAGGGGACATCTCGGTATGGGACCCCCATTCCCTTACACGTGCATCGTGGTTTTATGCACAGCGACCCGCGGCTACTTTGATGGCACATTCGGTCTGTCAGGTACCAATCTACCATCGCGAGCTCCGATGCCAGAGGGTGGTTCAAGCACCATGGCATAATGCCTCGCGAGATGCCTTGTCCGACCTGCCTTCACTGCAAATTTCGGGCACCCATTGGGCCAATCCTATCGGACAGGCCAATGCAGCTAAGCTGCATGTCAGAATGGAAGTGAGAGCTTCGCTGGTACGGATTCTATCATGGCCCCAAAAGTTCCACTCGATGGCAGGCTGTGCTTACAGCCACCAGGGTCTGCCACGCTGGTGCTTGCAAGCTTGGTTCTACTGACCACTGAGCTGGCCGTGCAAACCTCCCTCGGGCCTTTTCCTAAGCCTCGGTACATTGGCTATGATTTCATACGACGGCACGATACCCAAGTATCTGGGTAGTCCGAAACAGTCTGACTGATAGGCGTGTCCATCGTGGAGTACCCCACGCGGTTGATCGCCTACACACACTGGCCGAAGCTGTCCAAATTCGGGCACCCGTATCTGTACATCACAAGCAGACAGTCAGAAACCTCAGGTTATCCGAACTTCGGCTTTGCCAGTATCGCCTACTCCTTGCCTCCCTCCGCCTTACGGGGCTGCCCTGAGAACAAATCAAAGATCCCTGGGAAGACTAGTTGAGGATCAGTCGCTCATGGAACCCACCCTGTCCCGGATGGCTCCAGGCCTCGGCACGCCGTTTCCGCTGCGTCATTCTTCTCGGACTCGCCCGAGATACGTCCCAGGCTTCCGGGTACGGGAGCTAAACGTTCTGATCTCCACACCGGTCACGGTGTCACTGGTGTCGCCTCCTAAGGGCCCGTGACGACCACGTTCGTCACACCGGCGCTCTCGGCCGCTGGCATCCGGCCGCCCTTGTACCGCTTCCCTCACACGACACAACATGAAAGACAAATCTTTCTTACTGTCCCAGGACCGATGGATATAAACGCCCTCACACTTGTGGCGCTCATTCATTGATCGCTAAACGAGATTTCCTTTGCTTTTTGCACGTACAAGAGGTCCGCATCACCTGTAAAATTAACATCCAGAACGAGCCCCTGGTCCGATTTGGTGGGCTACCGACGATCAGGTTCACTGACACGATTGACCCATTCTTTTCTTTTCGTAACGGAAATGATGCTGACATCTGGGTAGGCAGGAGGATAAGGTATGACAGATGGGTTAGGGACGTTGCTGTGCCACATGACCGCAGAGCCGGGGCAGGGGTGATCATCTCGTTGCCTTCTTACTACTCCTCGGGAGACACCCACCCGACTCTTCTCACGGGCATCGCTAGCAGTCGTACCTTGCTTTCATCACGATATGGGCAACTGAACCGCCACTATCGATATCACAATGCTAAGTTTATCATCCAAGGTGGCTTTTGGGGATACTCGAATCGAGGCAGGCCCAAGCCAGATCCAGCAGTTGATACCTTCTACTCCCCAACGCCACGGAGATGGTGTGGATGCACTCGAGTCGTTCCGCCGACCTGACACACCCCTGAATGGCACGCCAGCGAGCTTGGCTGCAGCCATTCTGTGCCTTGGGTTAGTTGCCCCTTTTCAAACAATGCAATGTGCGCCCCAGGGAAATGGAAAGCGGCGACTAAGAGATGGGTCATCTACCTATGATCATTGGTCCACTGATTGAGACACCAGCTGGTCGGCCACTTTCAAATCTGAACGGGAGGGTTGGTCCAATGTAGGTAAGATACCTTAATCAATGGGACAAACACCATGCGATGGCGGCGGCGCGGAGCGGAAGCGCGGGGGGTGTTTCCCCTGAATCTCTACGGGTCCCCGGGAGATCTTGTAGTCTTTGCCGCTTCTATGCTTTTTCCAGTGGTAGAAGACTGCGAATTGTGTTTTGAGGAAAACACTTTTGGCGGCTTGCGGGCTTGTTTCCATCGGTAGTACTTCTTTCCGCGTGGTGTATACGGTGCAGCATGTTCTTTTATGCTAGGCTACGTGCGATGGCAAAATGCTAGCCGCGGCCTCGTCCCCCAGACTTCTCTTCCCGTCTCCCACGTCATGTTGAAATTGCTTTCATGTGCTCGTTTGGTTTTGGTAATTGTATGGCCAGCCACTTCGTCGTAGTATACACGATGATGAAGACACGATGATGAAGACACGATGATGAAGACACGATGATGAAGCCTGTGAGTAGAAAGAATAAGCGAAACCTTGGGTAACCACGTATCAATGGTGACCTGAACCAGATGTTTTCGCCTATCGACTTACACCAAGATGTAGTAGCTGAGATTCTCTACAAAAGAAGACCTCTATCACCGCTGAAGACCAAAGATTTGATATCGAAAGCCTATCCACGTCATCACAAAATTCACATTTCTACTCACCTGCCCACACCCTGTGTAGCGAATAAACACAGACTCGAGGGTCATGATGAACTCCCCTTCCCCCTCCTCATCATCATACAGGTGATAAATCGCCCTGAATGGCTGGTGACCTTCCATAGTCATACGAGTTCGTCCTTCTTACGGTCCCATGAATACATCATCTACGTCGATGCATTCGTTCTTTTGTGACCCCGTAACATTGGGGCACTCTATCAAGAATAGAAGAAGAAGAACTAATTACATCCTGGCCGAAAGACATAGATGGAGTATAGCAGGCTTTTTTTCCTCTACTTGACGCAAGTACTATGATATTCCAGAGCACTGGAGAGGGGGCCAGGCGTTTTTTGTCTCGATGAGGATACAGAACACCGATTCGCCCCCCCCCCCCCCTTTTCAGGGAACTTTCTTCTCTCTTTGTGCTATAGTCCTTTCTGCCTACCAGGAAATGTCCCGTATCACGAAGTAACTTGTATTTCACTTCAAGCGTGGTTCCGGGGGCTGTCCCTCGGGTAGGAAACAAATACACCATGGCGAGCGATGCGTGAAATTCTCTTTGGTATCCCTGTAGAGACCTCGAACCTCTAGTCTCGGAAGTCTTCGTTCCTTAACTAAGAGCCGGCTTGTGTTTGGAGAGCCAATACCGTCCACATCGATGGTCGATTTCCAAGTCATATAGGGCACAAGTAAACAGTCACGGTACCATTCACTCGACAGATCTCAAACGACTCCATAGACCGCAAGGGCAAACGGAATGCAACGTGATGCCGTATACTAAATCCACTCTCATTTTGGTATCATTTTCTAACAAAGCACACGATCAAATCTTCCCGCTATGGCACGCGCTCCAAGCCTACAACCAAAGCGGACATGCAACCGCTCCTTTCGCTACTCCTACAAGGGAGGCAGCTCCTCTCGACATATAGGACATTGTAATCTAAAACGCATCCAACCCTCCAGGCACGCGCTGTGGAAGATGTGCCGGCACGGCGTCACCATGTAATTCCTCCTCGTAAACACGCCGACGACCCCTCCGGCCGTCGGATCCTCCTCGCCCGCCCGCATGACGGGCACCTCGAGCACCTCACGGCAAATAGCGCAGTCGATGGCGCGTAGGTTACTCCCACCACCGCCGCCCTTCTTATCCCTCACGTCCTCGCCGCCGCCGCCCGACCTCACCCTCTCCAGAGACGGCGATCCCGGCTCCGAGAGCAGCCCGATCGGCAGCCCGCCGGCCTCGACGCCATCCTCGCGCAGGATCGGGTGGTAATCCCACGCGTCGGGCGTCCAGCTCTTTGGTATACCGAACCGCGGGCCGAGCACGTACTGGAAGGCGAGCACCCAGAGCTGGATCCACAACCACGCGCAAAAAACGAGGAACGCGCGCCGGTCCGTCTCGGCAAAGAGGAAATTGTTCTCGTAGACGTAAAAGTAGGCAAAGGGGAGCAGCCGCAGGACGGACTGGCCAATGACAAACTGCCAGGTCAGCGCGCGGCGGCAGTTGCGGATGATGTTGCGGTGGATCTGCGGCACCCAGAAGGAAAAGTAGACGAGGGCCACGCTGTTGACGAAGAAGTTGCGCACGCGCGGGTACCAGGACGTGGAGGCGATGGAGACGAGGAGGATGAGGGACACGGTCATGGCGAAGCGGAATATGACGGACTGGAATGTGACCTCGGGCCCGATGCGATGGCCGCCGCCTGCGCCGGTGCCCGTTGTCGGTACGGCTGCCGCACCGCTCGCGGCGTCTGCGATCTCCGCGTCGATATCCTGATCCGAGGGAATGATGATCGGAGGCGAGGGTGCTCTCCTGCGAGGCCCCGCGGTGACGG